AATAAACTCCTGTGTGGATTTAATATCGGTCTCTGGTTGGTTCTCTCTCACTGGGTGCAACAAGAACAAGGTACAAGACAAAAATACCTAAATGAAAAACTCTAAAATACTTGTCCAGGAATGTTGAAAAGCAGCTTTTAAAATTGTAGTTTTAATTCTTGATAATTAAGAAATTCAAATGTATACAAAGAGGCTCTTGTATCCTCAACTATTCCATGTCCTTCAAAATCCCAGATATATTTCACCCATAAATTTTCTTTATGTATTTCTAAAAGATAAAGACCGCAGTAATAAATCACATCTAAAACTATTAACAATAATTCCTTAATTCATTAGGTTGCTGGGGATTTAGCTCAGTGATCCCACTGCACAAGGCTTGGAGTTCGATCCTCAGTACCAAAAAAAAAAATTCATTCGGTTAATGTTCAAGTTTTCAACTTCAATCTTCATCATGTCTCTTAAAAATATTTCATTTGAACTGGATCCAAAAAAGTTCTACATATTGTGATTGATAATATCTTTAAACTTTTCTGTAGGATACTTTCTATCTTTTTTTCCCCCCAGTATTGGGAATTGAACTCAGGACCTTATGATTGCCAGGCAGGCAAGGTGCCACTGTGCTACATCCCCCCTGCCCTCCTATCTTTTGAAAAAATTTCCTTGTAATTACTTCATTGAAGAAACTGAGTTGTTTTTCCAGTAGTTTTTCATTCTGAATTTTTTTGGGAGTAGTCTGAGACAGTGTCTTGCTACAGAGTCCAGGGTTTTGGACTTGTCTTGTTCCTCCTGTCTCAGCCTCCCGAGTGCTGGGATTACAGGTTGGCGCCACCACGCCCAGCTCTTATTCAGGATTTTGCTGATTGCCTCTCTGTGATTTGGTTTACCACATTCTTGTCCTCTATATTTCTTGTAAATTGAGAGTTAAAGGCTTGGTCAGATTTAAGTTTACCTTTTCAACCTGGTTAGAGCCTTCATAGTAGGTACTCTGTTTTTCCTATGAGGATACATGTAATGTCTGGTTGTTCCACATCTTTTGTGATGACAGCAGCCGTTGATTCTCATCCATTAATTCTTTCGAGATTGCAAAATGATATTCTTTCACTCCACGTGTGATACTTACACTTCAGTAAAGGGAAAGAAGTATTAATTTCTAAAAGTGAATATCTAGAAACTACTTATATCTATTAGCAGGTGGCAAAAAATGGCAGGGTTCCTTTTGGTTGTAAATAGGAATGTATGACGGAGCCCACCGTCACTTGTCGAACAGCACCTGAATGGGGGAGTGAGGATGAAGAAAAAGAAAGACACAGAGATAGACTCAGGAGGGCTCCCAGAGAGATTGAGACCACAAGTTTATTTTTTCTGGATCTTTTATACACTGAACAGGCTGTGGCTATTTTTAGTCCTGGCCTTGATACAGAAACGCCCACTTCTCTTTTCTTTGGAATTTCCCCATTCTCTAGAATTTCCCTGTTCTTTTAGTTCTTTATATCTCTGGGTAAAAGAACATGCATCATGGCACAGGACAATCTTTAAAGATAAGCATTTGGCTTGGCAGGGACAGAGTATTCCCAGAGCTGATATCTTGTCCTTTACGGTGGAGGGCAAAGTTAAAATGGAATCTTCATAGCTAACACCGCTGTCCACAAATGTACGTGGATCAGTATTTTTGTGTGGTAGTAAATTTTTTCTGGATTTGCAAGTAACAAAACTAATAATTGTGGCTGGTCTTAAAGAGAGGAATTTGGTTGGGCCAGAGGGAGGCTTTTGCTTTTTCTTTCCAATCTTTCAATGCTCTTGGAATTTATGATTAATTGTATACGTAAAAACAGAGCATGCTGGGCATGGTGGTGCACACCTGTAATTCTAGCACTTGAGAGGCTGAGGCAGAAGGATCGCTGAAGAGTTGGAGGCCAGCCTGTACTACATAGTGAGTTCAAGGCCAGCCTGGACTGCCTAGTGAGACCCTGTCTCAAAAAACAAAAACCAAAACAAAACAAAAAACCCCAAAACAAAAACATCGTCAGCGGAGGTTATGTGGTCAGTGGGATTGGTGA